TCCCCCCAACCCACGTCCCCAGCTTTTCTCTCCATTTGCAGGCGCTTCGTGGTCCTACTGCAGCGTGAAGGGGATGCTCTGCCTGCTGGTGCTGGGCAGCCTGGGCACGGCCGTGGCCATCACACACCTCCTCCTCCGGCAACAGGGACCCCCCTCCCACGGCGCTGGCACTGGGTAGGACCCCCCCAAGGGGCATCTCCTTGAGCTGTGCAGCAGCTGAGACCTCAACATTCCCCAACAAACGAGGTGCTTTTCACTTGCATGAGCTGTTGACCCACCTGAGCATGGATTAAAGAAAAACAACTTTTTTTCTCCCCCTTGCCCCCCAGAGTATTTATTTCAGGATCTGGAACAAATTCTGGGCTCTTCTGTGGAGGAGACCAAATGGGCTGAGCTGGTTTTCACCCCAAAAGATGAGGCTCCCCTCCAACATCCCAAGGAAAAGCTTCCCCCTGAATCAGAAGAGACCCCCAAAGGGGGGTTGAGCAAAAAGGGACACGATGCCCTGCCCAGACCCCTCCATGGAGACAGACCCCTCCCTTGGATGGAGCCACCCCAAGGGGATGGGGATGCGGGGACCGAGGAGCATCACCCCAGCCCTGCCTTAACCCTCCCCTCTCCATCCTTGAGGGAACCAGCTCCACGCATTGCCCGGAGCTTTATTCCCTCTCCTAAAGATCTCACCTCCAGATCTGACCCCTCCAACATAAACTGTGGCTACGGAGGCACCGTGGGGATGGAGTCCCCCCTCTTCTCTGGGGGCAGCAGCCCTTTGTCCATCCCTTATCCAGCCCCGACCCACAGATACCACCTCCTTAAATCACTGGTGGCTCTTAACCAGCTTATCCTGAGAGTGGTTTTACCCGAATTGGTCCCCACTCCCAGCTTTTCCTGCTGGATCAGGGATGGCCAAGCCCAGCAGAGCCCCACTGAGGTGCCATGTTGGTCCCCTGCCCCATAGCAGCATTGTGTGGGGCCGGTGGATCACAGACGGCCGTGGTGCTGCTGGAAGAGAGCAAGGGGCTGTGGGGCCAGGAGCCCCTAATCCGATCACCCCGCTGTCTGCTTCTGGGGGAAGAGGAGGAGGAGGAGGATGAGAAGGAAGAGGAAGGCAATGTGCTGCATGGCTGTCCCAGGGAAAGGTGGGTCATGGGGTGAGAGATGGGGGCAGGTGCTGTCCCAGGGAAAGGTGGGACGTGGGGTGAGAGATGGGGGAAGGTGCCAGAAGAGGGGGATCAGACCCAGCTTTGTATCCGCTGCCCCCCCACATCCTCTGGGCTGCCCCCAAGGCACAGGGTGGGGGGACACTTTCCTCCTTGACGGGCCCAATCCTGCTGCTGGGGGACCCTGGACGGGATGTGGGGGCACTGGACGTGTCTGCACCCTACCAACCACAGCGGCTTCTCCTCCTCCTGAGACAACCTGCAAAGGGAAAGCAAAACCCCCAAAAATTGTGTCTTCCCCCTTTTCTCCCCTCTTCACCCCCCCTGCTTCTCTCCTTCCCCCCGAGTAATTACAATGAGTTTCCTCTCGAGGTTTTGCAGCCACCCAGCCCCACAGCCCAGCTGGCCGGGACGGCACGTCCGTCCCCACCGTGCTCTGCCCCACGGGGTTGGGCTATGGGGAGGGGGGTGCCAGGGGACACAGCGGGGGCGACAGCGACAGCGCGGAGGAGCCCACAGAGGGGCGGAGGGTGCGAAGGAACCGCAGGCGGGAGAGGAAGTCACCGCTGGACACAGTCACCCGGCTCCCGGGGGTGGGTTCGCACCCCTCCAGCTGCAGGGAGCTCCCTCGGGTGCCCCCTGGGAGATGGGGTGCCCTGGGGGTCCCCGGTGTCCACTGACACCCGTGCTGCTGCCCTTCCTGGTGCTGCTGGCCACGGCCGGTGGCCAAGGTGAGATGGGGACACGGTGGAGGGCTTTTTTGGGGGAGGATGGGGGCTCATTCGGCCACCCGGTGTGGAATGGGGTGACCCCTGGTCTCGTCGTTGATGGGGGTGACCCCCGGTCCCTGCAGCACCCGCAGGCAGGGCAGGAGGGATGCTGCTGCCCACCCGGGGAGCTGGGTGCCAGGGAAAAGGCTGGGGTGATGGCACCCACGGGCCGTCAGCTGTGGGGTGACGGGCAACGAGCTGGGATTGGAGTCCACGAGGGAGATGGAGAGGACCTGGGTGAGTTTTTGGGGCTTTGGGGTCCACCAGGGTGATGGAGAGGACCTGGGTGAGGTTTTGGGGCTTTGGGGTTCACCAGGGTGATGGAGAGGACCTGGGTGAGGTTTTGGGGCTTTTCTTCACAATTCTGAGCCTGGTTGTGTCCGGCACATGAGATAGCAAAGCTGGTGGCTCCATAGGTGCCTCCAAGCGTGGCTCGGTGTTGGGACCAGTTGCATGGAGCCCAAGCCCTGCTGGGGGCTGTGGGATGGGTGGGTGGGGGGTTCGCACCCCTCCAGCTGCAGGGAGCTCCCTCGGGTGCCCCCTGGGAGATGGGGTGCCCTGGGGGTCCCCGGTGTCCACTGACACCCGTGCTGCTGCCCTTCCTGGTGCTGCTGGCCACGGCCGGTGGCCAAGGTGAGATGGGGACACGGTGGAGGGCTTTTTTGGGGGAGGATGGGGGCTCATTCGGCCACCCGGTGTGGAATGGGGTGACCCCTGGTCTCGTCGTTGATGGGGGTGACCCCCGGTCCCTGCAGCACCCGCAGGCAGGGCAGGAGGGATGCTGCTGCCCACCCGGGGAGCTGGGTGCCAGGGAAAAGGCTGGGGTGATGGCCCCCACGGGCCGTCAGCTGTGGGGTGACGGGCAACGAGCTGGGATTGGAGTCCACGAGGGAGATGGAGAGGACCTGGGTGAGTTTTTGGGGCTTTGGGGTCCACCAGGGTGATGGAGAGGACCTGGGTGAGGTTTTGGGGCTTTGGGGTTCACCAGGGTGATGGAGAGGACCTGGGTGAGGTTTTGGGGCTTTTCTTCACAATTCTGAGCCTGGTTGTGTCCGGCACATGAGATAGCAAAGCTGGTGGCTCCATAGGTGCCTCCAAGCGTGGCTCGGTGTTGGGACCAGTTGCACGAAGCCCAAGCCCTGCTGGGGGCTGTGGGATGGGTGGGTGGGTGGGCTAAGCCGAGCTCCCGGAGGGTGACGCTTGCCTTGATGCCAAGTGGGCTTGGGTTGTGGATTGAGCTTGCCTTGACGTGCAGGCTGGGCTTTGCTGAGGGCTGCACGCCGGCTGTTGTGTGGGGCTGTGCAAAGTCCACCCCCGGCGCTGACCCCACCACAGGCAGCCGTGAGGAAGGTGGCACCCTCAGAGGTTCGATTGCTTTAGGGTTTTTTCTTTATCTCGTTCCTGCCAGAGCCCTCAGCATCCGGGGCCACACTGAAAAGTGGGAAGGAAGCACAGAAACTCAAAAAGAAAGGGTGAAGGTTCATCCCTGAAGGTTCAAGGGCAGGTTGGAGGGGGCTTTGGGCATCCTGGTCTCATTGAAGATGTCCCTCCTGCTAGAAGGGATGGAACTGGATGGTCTTGAAGGTCCCTTCCAACCCCAAACGTTCTGTGATGCTCTGGCGATTCCACCACTTTCCTGGGTTGGAGGGGACCTCCAAGTTCATCCATCAAGACCAACCATCAACCCACCACTGCCCAACCCACCACAGCACCGGCTTTTTGATCCCTCCAGGGATGGTGTTTGGGGAGTGGAGCTATAGGACGAGTGGGAAGAGTTTTAAACCAAACCTGAGGAGATTGAGCTGAGATGTGGGGCAGAAGTTCTTTGGTGTGAGGGTGGTGAGAGCCTGGCCCAGGTTGCCCCGAGCAGCTGTGGCTGCCCCATCCCTGGAGGGGTTCAAGGGCAGGTTGGAGGGGGCTTGGAGCAACCTGGGCTGGTGGGAGGTGGTCCTACCTAGGGAAGGGGGCTGGTGGGAGGTGGCCCTGCCCAGGGAAGGGTCTAAGACTAAATGATCTTTAATGTCCCTTGTCACCCAAATCATTCTGTGGGTCTAGGATGAGAGGGTGTGCAACCGTCCCTGCTCTGGGCAGGGCAGAGGATATTGCAAAAGCATCTGCAACGTGATTCCAATGAATTGAGTGTGGACAGACAGACAGACAGCCCGGGGGGGTTGCAGAGAGAAGGGGAGCCCCGAGATGGGGATGGGGAACCAGGCTGAGCTTGTCCCCGGGGAGCAGGAGGGAGTGTGCTGGGAGCTGCGGGTGTGGGACGTGGGTGGGCTCTCCCTCGCTCACCCCTCTCTGCTTTAGGATCCCCCAAGTGCCAGGAACAAGCCGTGGCTGCTGGTGGAGAGCTGCGGCTGCTGCCGGATAAAACTCCGCAGGAGAGGGAAAAGGTTGTATGGAGAGCGTGCCTGGACACGGGACACAAGCTCCAGATCCTGAAGATTAAGAATAAAACTGCCCAACTCGGGAGGGACAGCCCTTTTTATCAGAGAGTTTTTTTTGGGGTGAAAAGTCTCTTCCTGGCGATTCGGCCGGCTCGCACGGCAGACAGTGGGATCTACTGGGCAGATTTTGAGGGCACAGCAGAGGCTGTTACTGAGCCGTGCTTCCGCGTGTTGGTGTGGGGTGAGTAGCCAACCCTGTCCCCATCACCCCCTGTCCCCTTCTCGGTCCCCCCTGTCCCTTCTCACCCTCTCTGTCCCCACAGAGCCCCTCCACAAGCTGCTCCTGGAGACGCGCATCCTGCACTGGGAGCAGGACCGCTGCAACCTCTCCCTGCTCTGCACCGTGCCCGGGGCCACCAACGTCTCCTACAGCTGGTCCTGCACCGGGGGACACCCCGGAGCCCTGGTCCACCAGCCCCAGCTGGACCTACAGCTCCTTGGGGACTCTGACCCCACTGTCTGCTTCTGCAACGCCACCAACTCGTTGAACTGGAGAATGGCTGCCACCAATGTCACAGCATCCTGTCTCTCTGCGGGCCTAGGTTTGTGTGAAAAATGGGGGTTTTTTGGGGGGGTTTCTCGCCCTCCATCTCCAAAATGAGCTTTGGGACTTAAATCCCTAAGTGGGCGATGTAGCCGTGGGCGTGCAAGGGGCTGGGTGGCTGTGGACCGGTGGCAGCATCTTGGGGAGCTGGCAGGGTCATGGAATGATAGAATCATTCAGGTTGGAAAAGACCCTTGGGATCATCGAGTCCAACCATCTCCCCAACTCTACAAAGTTCTCCCCTCCACCATATCCCCCAACACCACATCTGAACGAGTCTTCAACACATCCAAGGATGGTGACTCAACCCCCTCCCTGGGCAACCAATTCCAGTCTCTGACCAATCTTTCTGTGAAAAACTCTTTCCTGATGTTCAGTTTGAACCTCCCCTGTTGGAGCTTGAATCCATCCCCCCTCATTCTGTCATTAATTACCTGGGAGAAGAGACCAGCACCAACCTCTCTACAGTGTCCTTTCAAGTAGTTGTAGAGAGGGATGAGGTCTCCCCTCAGCCTCCTCTTCCTCAAACTAAACAGTCCCAGCTCCTTCAATCGCTCTTCGTAGGATTTCTTCTCCAGGCCCTTCCCCACCTTCGTTGCCCTCCTCTGCCCCTGCTCCAGCACCTCCCGATCTCTCTTGGGTTGAGGTGCCCAAAACTGGACACAACGCTCCAGGTGTGGCCTCCCCAGTGCTGAGCACAGGGGCACAATCACCTCCCGACTTCTGCTGGCCACCCTATTTCTAATCCAAGCCAGGATGCCGTTGGCTTTCTTGGCCACCTGGGCACAATTTTGGCTCATATTCAGCCACTTGTCAATGAGAACCCCCAGGTCCTTTCCTCCAGGCAGCTCCAGCCACACTTCCCAACCTGTAGCGACGTGTGGGGATGCATCAGTCCCACAAGTGCAGGCAACCCCCTCGGGGGGGACAAGGAATGTGTCGTCCTCGTCCCCCCAACCCACGTCCCCAGCTTCTGTCTCCATTTGCAGGCGCTTCGTGGTCCTACTGCAGCGTGAAGGGGATGCTCTGCCTGCTGGTGCTGGGCAGCCTGGGCACGGCCGTGGCCATCACACACCTCCTCCTCCGGCAGCGGGGACCCCCCTCCCACGGCGCTGGCACTGGGTAGGACCCCCACAAGGCGGGGGCACCTTGAGCCATGCATCAGTTGAGACCTCAACATTCCCCAACAAACGAGGTGCTTTTCACAGCCATGAGTTATTGACCCACCTGAGCATGAATTAAAGAAAAAACAACTTTTTTTCACCTCCTTCCTCCCGGAGTCTTTATTTCAGGATCTGGAACAAATTCTGGGCTCTTCTGTGGAGGAGACCAAATGGGCTGAGCTGGTTTTCACCCCAAAAGATGAGGCTCCCCTCCAACATCCCAAGGAAAAGCTTCCCCCTGAATCAGAAGAGACCCCCAAAGGGGGGTTGAGCAAAAAGGGACACGATGCCCTGCCCAGACCCCTCCATGGAGACAGACCCCTCCCTTGGATGGAGCCACCCCAAGGGGATGGGGATGCGGGGACCGAGGAGCATCACCCCAGCCCTGCCTTAACCCTCCCCTCTCCATCCTTGAGGGAACCAGCTCCACGCATTGCCCGGAGCTTTATTCCCTCTCCTAAAGATCTCACCTCCAGATCTGACCCCTCCAGGATAAACCGTGGCTGCGGAGGCGCCAAGATCTCACCTCCAGATCTGACCCCTCCAAGATAAACCGTGGCTGCGGAGATGCTGTGGGGACGGAGCCCCCCAACTTCTCTGGGGGCAGCAGCCCTTTGTCCATCCCTTATCCAGCCCCGACCCACAGATACCACCTCCTTAAATCACTGGTGGCTCTTAACCAGCTTATCCTGAGCGTGGTTCTACCCGGATCGGGTCACACTCCCGGCTTTTCCTGGTGGATCAGGGATGGCCAAGCCCAGCAGAGCCCCTCTGAGGTGCCATGTTGGTCCCCTGCCCCACAGCAGCATTGTGTGGGGCCGGTGGGTCGCAGGCGGCCGCGGTGCTGCTGGAAGAGAGCAAGGGGCTGTGGGGCCAGGAGCCCCTAATCCGATCACCCCACCGTCTGCTTCTGCCCGTCCGATCCGCCCTGTTAATCACCTTACAGTAAGCTCATTGCCTCCCCGGTGGCCCCCAGCCATCCCCCGGGGGGGGGGAAACAGCAGCTGGGAACTGGGTGCCAGGGAGGGGGTGAGGTGGGGAGCAGGGGCTGGGGAGCAACCACCCCGAGTTCTGCTGGGAGGTGGGAAATGTTGGCGGGGGAGGGAAAGGGGAAGAAGATTCCCAGCAAAAATCTTGGGGAAAAAGTCCATGGAATGAATGGGGAGCAGGGAGGGATGGGATCAGCTCCACCTCTCTGGTAGCCAGAGCGGGTTTCCTACAAGCCCAAAAACTGCCAGCCCACCCAAGCTGATGGTTTGCTGCTCCATCACCCGGCAGAGATTGGGGTGCAATGACTGCAACCCCACCGGTGGGGGAAACTGACCCCCAACAAGCCCCAAAAAGTGCTGTTGTAGCCCAGGATGCACAAGTTGATGGATCCCCGCTCAATCACCTGGAAGAGATTGGGGTGCAACAGCTTCAACCCCACCGGTGGGGGAAATTGAGGCACAGCCTGACACCCCCCCCAAGCCCCAAAAATGCCATTGTAACCCAGGATGCACAAGTTGATGGATCCCCACTCAATCACCCGGAAGAGATTGGGGTACAACAGCTTCAACCCCACCAGTGGGGGAAACTGAGGCACAGCCTGACCCCCACACGCCCCAAAAATGCCATTGTACCCCTGGATGCACAAGCTGGTGGGTCCCCACTCCATCACCTGGTAGTGACTGGGGTGCAATGGCTTCAGCCCCACCAGTGGGGGAAACTGACCCCCCACAAGCCCCAAAAAGTGCTGCTGTACCCCAGGATGCACAAGCCGATGGGTCCCCACTCTGTCACCCTGCAAAGATTGGGGTGCAACAGCTTCAACCCCACAAGTGGGGGAAACTGAGGCACAGCCTGACACCCCCCCAAGCCCCAAAAATGCCATTGTAACCCAGGATGCACAAGTTGATGGATCCCCACTCTGTCACCCAGCAGAGATTGGGGTGCAACAGCTTCAACCCCACAAGTGGGGGAAACTGAGGCACAGCCTGACACCCCCCCAAGCCCCAAAAATGCCATTGTAACCCAGGATGCACAAGTTGATGGATCCCCACTCTGTCACCCAGCAGAGATTGGGGTGCAACAGCTTCAACCCCACAAGTGGGGGAAATTGAGGCACAGCCTGACCACCTACAAGCCCCAAAAAAGTGCTGCTGTACCCCAGGATGCACAAGCTGGTGGGTCCCCACTCCATCACCCAGCAGAGATGGGGGTGCAAGGGCTTCAACCCCACCAGTGGGGGAAACCAAGGCACAGCCTGACCCCCCACAAGCCCCAAAAATGCCATTGTACCCCAGGATGCACAAGCTGGTGGGTCCCCACTCCATCACCTGGTAGTGACTGGGGTGCAATGGCTTCAGCCCCACCAGTGGGGGAAACTGACCCCCCACAAGCCCCAAAAAGTGCTGCTGTACCCCAGGATGCACAAGTTGATGGATCCCCACTCAATCACCCGGAAGAGATTGGGGTACAACAGCTTCAACCCCACCAGTGGGGGAAACTGACCCCCCACAAGCCCCAAAAAGTGCTGCTGTACCCCAGGATGCACAAGTTGAACTCAGCAGAGATTGGGGTACAACAGCTTCAACCCTACCGGTGGGGGAAATTGAGGCACAGCCTGACCCCCCACAAGCCCCAAAAAGTGCTGTTGTACCCCAGGATGCACAAGCTGATGGGTCCCCACTCCATCACTCAGCAGAGATTGGGGTACAACAGCTTCAACCCTACCGGTGGGGGAAATTGAGGCACAGCCTGACCCCCCACAAGCCCCAAAAAGTGCTGTTGTACCCCAGGATGCACAAGCTGATGGGTCCCCACTCTGTCACCCAGCAGAGATTGGGGTGAAACAACTTCAACCCCACCGATGGGGGAAACTGAGGCACAGCCTGACCCCCACAAGCCTCCAAAAGTGGTGTTGTACCCCAGAATGCACAAACTGGTGGGTCCCCACTCCATCACCCACCAGAGATGGGGGTGCAAGGGCTTCAACCCCACCAGTGGGGGAAACTGAGGCACAGCCTGACCCCCACAAGCCTCCAAAAGTGGTGTTGTACCCCAGAATGCACAAGCTGGTGGGTCCCCACTCTGTCACCCAGCAGAGATTGGGGTGAAACAACTTCAACCCCACTGGTGGGGGAAACTGAAGCACAGTCTGACCCCCACAAGCGCCCAAAAGTGCTGCTGTACCCCAGAATGCACAAGCTGGTGGGTCCCCACTCTGTCACCCACCAGAGATGGGGGTGCAAGGGCTTCAACCCTACCAGTGGGGGAAACCAAGGCACAGCCTGACCCCCCACAAGCCCCAAAAATGCCATTGTACCCCTGGATGCACAAGCTGGTGGGTCCCCACTCCATCACCTGGTAGCGACTGGGGTGCAATGGCTTCAATCCTACTGGTGGG